ATATATATATATATATATATATATATATATATATACACATGTATTTTTTTATCTAGTAATTAATTAAATATGAATCTCAATAAATTAACATCATAATAACAAACCTATCTCCAAATACTTGGTAAGTCATCTCCGGTTTAAAGATAGTCTCTTCAGAGTGCAAGTCGTCGAGGTTGCGAATTAATCTGAGCTCTAGGGCTTCATTACTGTCTGCGACAAGCTTCTTTAAACGTGCTGTCGTCGAATCTTCCATTTTTATAAAAAAAATATCAACGGCTGAAGAGCAGAACTGAGGGGAACAATATGTGGTTGTTAGAACTCCAGTTCCTCTTGACGACTTCAAGGATTTAACCTTGGAAATAAACATATAGGTTAGAACATTGTAGACAACGTCGAGTTGTTGGCGCAAAATGACGAATACCTGGTATTGATGCACACAGTGATACACAGTTGGATGTGGTTGGATTAATCGATTGATATCTTTTATGTCAAACCTTGTCGCCGAAACAATTTGGCGCCAAAAACACGGCGGTCCGAGCGGTCTCTATAGAAAGGTGATTTCTGAATGGAGATTGGAGCCGTTCGCAGTCGCTTCCTGTTGCTTCCTCAATCATCGACAAAGTAATATGAAGATTGCCAGTCTTATTGGGCGCATTCAGCAGAAAAGAGCGCTACGAGAGCGCTCGCTGTTATTGGTGTATTCTTCTAGATCATCCAATCAGAATTTTAAATCTGGAAGAATATACCAATAACAGCGAGCGCTCTCGTAGCGCTCTTTTCTGCTGAATGCGCCCATTGTATGCATCGATGATGCTACTAAAAACTTTTATCTTGTAATTACCTCATAATATACAATATTAATTTTATGATTTATTATTAATGTTTTATAAACACCTATTATATATAATTTGTTTGATATCCGCTATTAACCTAATTTTTATTTAAAATCATATTTACTGTTATTATCCATGCATGATAATTGTAAAGAAAATACAATTTCGTGGTAAATATACATAGATATAATTACTACATATCTTTATAAATATACTATATAAATATATAGTCTATAAATATACTATTTATAGATATTTATAAAAATCTAATATAATAAAAAATAAACCTTTCATAAATTTAATATATTTTATTATAAATATTTTTGTAATTTTTACGTCACCAGTCGATAACGTCACTACTCTTCAATTATTCCCGAACCATTTGATAGTCACAAAAGTTTACCTGATAAAGTCGGCTCTCTCTAGTATCAAGAGATGTGGTAATGTTTTAGCGCTAATTTTAATAATTTTAATACACATATATGTGTGTACTTTATTAACTATAGGATTTTATTTCGTATTTTTCGATAGAAATAACATAGACCATGGTGTAAGTAGAAAGGTGAACCATTGCGCATAATGGCGGAGATTTGAGATCTTGACCAATCAGGGTTTGAGC